GGGTGCCAGAGCACTGGAACAGGCTGCCCAGAGAGGTTGTGGAGTCTCCTTCTCTGGAGATCTTCAAAACCCGCTTGGATGCAGTCCTGTGCCACGTGCTCTAGGTGACCCTGCGTGTGCAGGGGGGTTGGACTAGATGACCTCTAGAGGTCCCTTCCAACCTTAAGCATTCTATGATTCTATGATTCATAGCTGACTGCTCCAATAATATAAAGCAGTTTTATAAATTCCCCAAAATAGTTCACTTCATCCTATTTTCTTCCTGAGAACTAATCCCTTCAACCCACAGCTAATCTCATCTAGAAAAACTAAACTTTTCAGGGCATGGATGCTTGCTTGCTTTGTGTGTTACAAAAACTGGCTGGCTGTCAAGGGCTCCCTGCAATAGCAACATGTAGCAACTTGTGTAGTCTGGGAGCCTAGAGCAGAACTATGATATTTAGGTGCAAGTGCCAAGACAGAGAATTTCAGATGGTGACAAATGGCTGTTTTCATCCATAATGAAATCAGGAAAACTGCCTAAACACCATACGCCGTCCACAGCCTGCAGTCTGTCAGCATTATTAGAAGATTTCAAAAGATGTGTTACACCAGCCAGTGGGGCTGACACTTTGTGGATCTGTCTGAGCATGGTGGATGGAGGCAGAAAGGAGTCTTTCTGCACTGACACCAGAGTCCGCTGTTCTTGCCTTAATGTAAGTAACCCCCCAAAATGTTTTGTCTTATCCACAGGAACTTGCCAGGTTTCATGCAAATGCAACACGCAGCTTGACAGAGCAGACACAAACGCACAATGACGGAGCAGTTTTCACATCATTTGCAGTACTTACTGTTTAGGCAGTAATTTCCACACTCTGCAGGGAGTCAGCAGAAAACAAAACAAGAACATTCCGATTTTATTTTTCTATGCCATTGAAAGTCTCCTCTCCAAGGATTGTCTATTTTTCTCCCCACCTTTTGTAAATGAATGATCCTCACTTCTCTTTTACACCTCAGCAGACAAGTGTAAGCAGCTAGAAAGGCATTCTTTTAGCACTATTTTACACAGCTATTTATCTCGCCCACTCAAAATGCGCCAAGCCTGCAGCCAGGTAGCACCAGCTCCAAACCCTCTGTTAGCCCAGGCACTCAGTATCGTTCATATGGAGATGGATGAGGGGAGAGCGGTGGATGTCGTCTATCTCGACTTCACCAAGGCTTTTGACACCGTCCCTCACAACATCCTCCTGGGCAAGCTCCGGAAGTGTGGGATAGATGAGTGGACAGTGAGATGGATTAGGAAGAACTGGCTGGATGGCAGGGCCCAGAGAGTGGTGATCAGCGGTGCAGAGTCTAGATGGAGGCCTGTGGCTAGTGGGGTCCCCCAGGGGTCAGTCCTTGGTCCAGTCCTGTTCAATTTATTCATC